TTATTGGTCAACCTCACATTCGAACGCACACTCATACACACTTAAAGTGTTTACCACACACATAGTCGTCCTTTAGACGCAGCGTTGGCTCAAATCTTCAATCTCTTTGCATATTCATAAGCCAACTGACACGCTTTATATAGCCTACATTTGGGATTTTATCTAATTAGTTTTCATGTCAACAATCTTTGGTAAAAGCTTAGGCAAAAGTTTGTGAAAATCAAATACTAAATACTAAAGTTGCCTTACAATGTGACTTTTCGCTTCGGCTTCAACGCCTTAAAGTATGTGCCCAGAATTCTTGTTTAATCTATTAAACAATCGTATGAATGGCCTACCAAAAAGAGACCACAGAGAGAAAAAAGTTTTATAAAAGTTTGTAGGCCCTTACAAGCGTGCAAAAGCACATGTGAATATACATACATTGAATGTGTATAAAATGCCAACGGTATTTTTGACTGGTTATTTAAAGAAGCAAACAAATTTGTTTGCTTTTTTTTGGTTATTGAATGCTTATTATTTTTATTGAAAGTATAGCCCACTATCTGACTAAAACCATGTAAATAATTAAAATTTTTAAATTTGTGCACAAATTTGGAAAATTCGACAAAGTTTTAGAAAACATTTTGGCATGAAGCTTTCTAGCAATTTGAATTTTATACAATTAGTACACGTTTGAAGTTCTTAGAACTTACCTTTGATTTTTTTTTTGTATATTCGACAATTTTTTTATATGGAGTAAAAAGCACAACACCTTCAGCAAAAAAGTTATAAGATTTTAACGGTAAGGCCTAGCTACCTTAAAACTACACTTTGTTATACCAAAATGGGCAACAAAACTGCCTACGTGCATATTTTCAATAAAATATTTGAAATTTTTGACTTAAATACATAAAGAAACGAAAAATAGCCAAAATTTTAAAAATGACGGGTCCTTTTATATTTTTTTGCCACCGTATGTATGTATCTAGATCTTTTTTTTAGTAAAACACTTAAAACAGAATTGGATGTCGGAATCTTTATTATTGCCCTAAAAGTGAAAGTACATACCATCCATTGCGACAGCGTCACCGCCACCGTCACCATCACCGTCAACGATGCTTATGCGTCAAGTTACACACTATTCCTGCGACATTGCGCCCGAAAAATCATTAACTTGCTGATACTCTTTGCAAAATTTTCCTTTTACTTTTTCACTTCTTGTGTTAGCTTTTCCTCCATAATTTTTTACATTTCGTTTTTCCATAAATATTAAAATTTTCACAAACTGAAAAATTTTTTGTTGAAATATGTAAAAAAAAACCTGAATGGTTGTCTTTTGACGCAATCGCATAAGCAAAATTGAGAGTTGAGCTAATTAATGCGTCACCGTCAGCTTGATTATGTAACTTAAAGTGCAAGTACATACCATCCATTGCGGCACCGTCACCGTCATCATCACCGTCAACGATGATTATGCGTCAAGTTACACACTATCCGTTTGACGTAGCGTCCGAAAAATCATAAACTCGCTGCTAATCTTTGCAAAAGTTGCGTTTTACTTTTGCACTTCTTCTATTAGGTTTTCCTCCATAATTTTTTTAAATTTCGTTTTTCCATAAATCTAAAACTTTTCACAAACTGGAAAAATTTACGTTCAGACATGTAAACAAAACACTGAATAGTTGTCATTTGACGCAATGGCATAAGCGAAATTTAGAGTTGAGCTAATTTGTGTGGCACCGTCACCGTCAGCTTGTTCATCTAACTTACTTCATAAAAATACACCGAATCAGCATTTTGACAACTGCCTGCGACGGTGACGGTGACGAAAAGGACGTTATGTATTTTCACTTTAAAGAACATTCTCTGACATTTACTTCTTAAAAATAATTTCAGCCAAATGTTGACCGCACACAGAACAAACTAGTTTTGTTTTAAGCGTCTTATTTAAAATCAAAAACCCAAGATCTACACGGATTACTTTATATCTCCATACTAAGAGAGAGAGCTTAGTAAACTTTACAAGCCAAATAACCCCTCAAGGTGGCTCATCTGCACCGCTATGGTATCCATAAAGAATAGCGTAAAATAGTTAACTTAATATGTACAGGGAACTGAAAGTTTTTAGAATGAATTCAAGAAAAATATCGAAAGACTCGAAGAACTCAAGGATTTGCGGAAATATAGGATTTAGTAAATGTGCAGAAGTTCAGGCGACACGAGTGTTAACGTTTCGATATTTCTATCGATACTTAATTTTTTAAATTAATTATCGGTACAACTATATTTAAATCAATAAATATTTACCGCTATTTTTATAGGCGTATTTAACGAGATTTTTAGTCGTTATCGATAGAGGAACAGAGGAACTTCGGGTATAGGATTGTATCATAATGTGGTCTGTTGTTGCCTTAACATGTGAAGACTTAAAAAAAAACGGGGTAAAAACACGGCTATGAAGATAAACCAGTTGGGGTTATTTTAAGTGACAGATTTTCTCCTTACAATATTTTTACTAGTAGTACATATGTTTAGTATTCAGCAACAACTTTATTAAATATATATAATTAGAGTACAATGTTCGCTACGCGACACCTATTATTGCCAAACTCAAGCGATTGCCAAGTGAGCGAATGAGTGCATTAAGTAAGTTTGAGTGCAAGAGATTTACTCAGACATTACACCCCTTAACGCGCAGGAACGCTGTAAAAATCTGGTGGACGTCGAACACGATTGGATCGTCGTGGAGTGCAACCGTCTGATGAGATGCTTGCATCCAGTGGTGTCGAACTATCTGCTGCGGTGGAGGGGAACGACCGATGCTGCGAAGAACCCTCTGAATTGGACTGTTTTTGAAGTAGAGAAGATGGACTGCTCTCATCCATCACTGCAGACCGCGATTTCGATGAGGTTTCTGGCTCTTTAGAGTCTTGGTTAAGGAGAGCTAAGTCATCACCCCGCTCAGCTACATGTCGAATTCTTATCTGATCTAGATGCCGTTTTATGATACGCGAATCGTCGTCCAGCTGAACTGCATATGATATGGGTCCATTCCTTGAATTAATTTTCGCTGGTACCCATTTAGGTCCTGTGGAGTAGTTTCGCACCCACACTGGGTCTCCATCGTTGAAGGACTTCTCCCTGCCAATTTCGTGCTTTGCAGTAGGCAATTCGTGCGGATGAATTTTATCGAAAAATGTCTTTAGTTGTCTCTTAAACATAAGCTCTGCAGGTGAACGACCAGTAGATGTATGCGGCGTAATATGCTGATTGAAAAGAAACCGTGACAGCCTTAAGTCGATGTCCGGCCACTCTGGTGTTTTCTTCAAGAAGTCCTTCGTTGTCTGCACCATTCGTTCTGCTTGACCGTTGGACGACGGGTGAAATGGGGCACAGCGAATGTGACGAATTAAGTTGTCTTGCATGAATGTTTTAAATTCATCGGATGTAAATGCTGTCCCGTTGTCTGACACTATCTCATCCGACAGCCCATGAGTTGCGAAGAGTGATCGAAGGGGTTTGATAGCCGATTGCGATGAGGTTGACTTCACCAAGAAAACTTCAAGCCACTTCGAGAACGAATCTACAACGATGAAGAAAATCTTACCTTGAAACGGGCCAGCAAAATCAACATGGAGACGTGACCATGGATTTTTCGTTGTTTCCCACCAATGTACTGGCGCATGAGCACTCTCGTGACGAGTAGCTTGGCAAGGCGCACACATCTTTACAATATCCTCAATCTCCGATTCCATTTTCGCTAAGTGCGTATACATAAGAATCATGGTGTTATATGTATCTACATAAGTACATACATAAGTATGTATGTGTGTGTTGGTTTTTTATTGAATCTCATCTTTTCTTTGATGTCATCGTCAGCGCTTTTGTTTTCGGCTTTATAGTTGGTTTTGTTGTAATTTGGTTTTGTTTACTGTCTGCTGTGATGCCAATAATCTGGCTTTTTCCGCCCTTTTCCTTTCGACACATCCTGAGCCGCCAATTTCCGTGCATATACCGCATCGAGCCACCTGACCTTTCCTCTTGGTGTATAAATACTACGGCGCTTACTCATAAAAGATAAAGTGGCTTTAAAAAAGGTTTATAAATTGAAAAATGTGTTGAAACGTCAATTTAAAAAGCTCCTTAAACCTACTTTATTTTTTATGAATACGGCCATATATTTTTAAACAAAAGTAACACTGGCTACTTCGTCACTTTAAAGAGCCAGATCGACTTTTGTATACAAAAGGAATTTATTATCAAGCGTCATTATTTCACTAGTAATTGCCATTACCAAGTCCCCAATATAAAGTGTGGCAGTCTCCTCCTTCAATGGTCACACCATCGCCAGCCGAATTCTGTTACTTTTCTCTCGCTGTGCTTGCTACATGATATTTATCACTCAACTTGAAGCATGTTCTTTGGCCGTATAAAAACGTGTCAGAGCGGAAGTGTGGCGAGAATGCCGGCGACAAAAACGGCATTGTTAAGGATGGGAAAAATTACGGAAGCGGTAAACAAATCCTTTGTAAGAAATGCGGTTGAACGAAGCACGAACATTCCAAGAAAACATGACAATAATGCTGGAATAGCCAAATACACAAGAACAATGGCAATGGCCCAGTTACGCACGCGAATGATGGTGTTTGCCCTTCTCCACTACCTCGTACATTGCTCTATTAAGACTGCTGTTTAAATAAGTGTAAGTTCTTCTGGTTATGTAAGTGCAAATATGCATGCATGCCTCTCCTTATGTATGATTAAATGTATTACGAAAACCGTGCGCCGCCTTCTGGATATGCTACATTTTTTGGTAGCCAACTGAGGCACCCAACATTGATGGCACGCGATTGATTATGATGGCCTGTTAACAAATAACGGCATACACACATATGTACTTATAGTTTGTTATTTATATAAGGCAAAAGTGTGCTCTATTCTAGTTTGACAACCGTCTGTGTTTGTGAACTCATTTGCCAGTATTCAATTATGTTGACAATATTAACAAGAGCAAATATTCGCATTTCCAAATAATTACAAGTATGTATAAGTAATTGTTTGTCTGCAGCGAACGGCTATTGTGTCTGTCATTTCGTGCCGAACTCTTAACGAACAATCCTTGGCCAGATACGACACACTTTGGAGAATTTGCTTTGTTTACTCATAATTAAGCGCACGGCATGCAAGAGCATTGTTCTCTTGAAATAGTTAACGAATAGGTATGTATGTATGAAGATTTAAATTAAGTTGGTCGATGCTTCCCATTCTACTTAATTTTGTGACCTTAATTAAAGTGCCTTAATTGTGGTTAATTGTTACAAGTTATTCTGTGACCTATTACAATATGTCTCAGTAGTATTTTCGTGTGCGTAGGTGTTTTAATGTTAAATGTCCTTGTAGTTGCTTATCGGAAGTATCCTATCCTTCTGTCTATCCTACAATACAATTATAATAATCTGCCTTCATCTGAGCTAGTTTGTTTAAATGGGTGAAAATAGTTGTCACTTGTAGATGATGTAAGCAATTAGCCAAATTTTGTGCTTCAGAGGATCTGTTAATTATTGGACGTTGATTAGTAAAGCCCACAATTGTATGACCCTAATTAACGAAACCCATTATATTCTTATGTTAAAGTTTTAAGGTTTTGACATTTTGTTAGACGATTAATACTGAAAGGACTGTGACACTGGAATTACTTACACTGATACTAATTTTGATTGTCACTGATGCTTTTACTGATACCGACATCACTGATGCTGATAATAGTAATACTGAGATTGATACTAATACTTATACTGACACTGGAACTGATACCGATACTGATGCTCTTATTAATAATGGCACTGATATCGCCAATACATACAACTCATAATGAAAATTTGTTCCTTTCGAAAAAAAATGCTTTTCTCCCAGCAGCTAAAATATCCCCGGTTCAATCGTCTCCACTTTATCGAATATTATGCAGCAACATTTCGACTATACGTTTAGACGCATTGTTTTCGAGAAAAACTTCCCAAAAAGAATGTCCCATTAATGTCCGATTCGTTTGTGGAAAGAATGCCGCTTTAACAGGTCTATTCTGCGCTGGTAATATAAAGTGTGTAACCGGTAAATAAAGTTCCTGTCAATTTTTAAACCTTTTTCGCATTCTGTGCATTCTTGTAACCGGTAAATTTTGTTACCATCTCATAAGCTGATAACAAATTATTGCCCCGTGAAATATGCAATGCCAGGATTTGCACAATTCTTCATAGCTGAATTGCTGAAAATTTTAACTGCATTACCAACGTACCTCGAATCGTGGCGACAAGAACTGGTAACATTTTTTGGTAATACAATTTTCCGGTTACAAAATCTTCGGTAACGTGCAGAATAGACCTGTAAGTGGTGTTTTCCATCTTGTTACCAATTCTTGATTTATTTAAATTAATTTGAGGAAACATCATTTTCAAATTTGCTTTAGAAACCACACAGATATTTTCAAGGGCTACCAGGTGCCTTCATAGTAAAGATTTTTAATATGGAATTTTGTTTTCATTTTAATA